AGATAGGTGACACTATAATACTTTAAAGACATTATTATTTAATAGATAATTATGAATTTAAGGAAATAAGGATTGTTACAAATGAAAGAATATTAATGGTAATTTGAATACATAATGCTCAATGACAGTGAAATATTCAGTTATGTTTAATGTAAACCAGTGATGTTAAAACCCTGAGCTTAAGAATTGGTGCACAAAAACCTGTAACCAAATAACATGCTTGATGAAATGGAGGAAAGTTGTTTTTTGTTCTGCTCTTGCTTTGTTTTGTATGTGTTGTTTTGTTTAAAAAAGAATAAAAATATATTTTAAAAAAGTCAAGGTGAAAGTCATTTGAATGAGCCCAGTTGCAGACTGGAGACAATGCAGTTTAATGTAGAAGTCAGCTGAACCCCCCCAAGAGCATTCCAAACTGATTAAAGCAAAGCCCTTTGTTTCTTCAAACATTAGGCTGCCTGTAACCATTTACAACACTTGGCTCTGAAGTAATATTTTAGTCATGAAGACACTGCGAAGCAGATGATTTCAATCAGTGTGCTTATAATGCCTTTCATATGCCGACAGGTTTAAAATCGGAATAGACATGTTTAAAATTCCAGATGTTTTTAGAATTTTTAGCAACTGACATACAGAAATCTCTTCTGGCAACAGTTCAACTGACCTATGTATCTTAGTCTCTTCCATGATTCCATTTATGGAGAAATTGATTCCATCCTGTTAGGCCCTTGCATGGGGCAGTTTGTTATAATTTTGGATATGTTGGAAAGTTAGTTTTAGTGTTCAGAAATAATTCCATGCAGTCCAATGTAGTTTATAACAATTGTAACACATCTTCTGAGGTAAATAATCACATTGATGACAAATGTAGCCATGCTTGAGATCTGCTTTTCCTGAAGCTTTTTAAAAGGCATTCAAAGTTCAGTGCAGTTAAATTGGAATAAAACCACTTTCTGACTGCAGTAGCATATATTGTTTGTTTCCAGAAAAAAAGTCAATTTTTCTTTCCCCCTCCCTCCCCTCAAAAATCTGCTTGCTCAAACATTGTTATAGGACATGAATTGTATTTAGGTTTTAAGTTATATTAGTGTGTAAAAAGATTTTACTCAAGCACTTACACACATTTTATGCCAAGGATGGATTAATCATTGCCACTGCAAAAGGAAATTGGTTTAATTAAGGAAAATAGACTGTAATCACTGTTGCTTTTCTGTATTAGTTAAAATCTATTGACTAAAAACAGTAACAATATAAATATAGCAATTATTACAATAAATCAATTTAAAACAACGTAGCCTCTAAACAGTTCATTTTATATTATTATGCTATACATTTTAATAACAGTTTGTGCTATAAGCTGTTTAATATACAGTTCAGTTCACATTATTATGCAATAAATATATTGCTAAATAAATAACTCCGGTTGTTTGAAACACAGTGTGCTGGTTCGAGAGTTGTGTGGTTCAGCACCTTATAGACCAGATGTTCCAAAGAAAGAAAGAATTTTCTTTATTTCACTTGTGATGATTTGTGTTCCTGAAAAGATGATAGAGGGATAGTGACCAAAATTATAGCTCCATCCTGGGACGGAGTGGGGAATCTTTTTTGAGTCCTGGCTGATTTTGTTAATTATTTATCGACACAATTTAGAATTAGCTATGATAATTACTTTATAATGCCTTTTGATCTGCAAACCATTCAGAGGGCCCTTTTACAATTCACAGTTAAAAGGACTATGGTGGCTTGATGTAATTGTAGAATATGTGAGGAAGATCTTGGCAGACTGAGGAAAGAGATACTACCATGGAACTGTCAGATAAGAGATAGCATAGCCCACGGCTGGATGGTGAGTGAAGCAAGAGACCCTCCCTAGTTTTTCAAGCAATAAAGGAGCAGGAGAATTGTACTTTCAGTGTGTCTGTCAATGTATCATTACAACAAAAAAGGAGTTGGCTTATCTGGTTGTCTGCTTTATCCCAGGAGGCTAATATCTGAAACATTCTCTTCCTGCTCCATCTCTGAATAAACAGCCCAATTGACTGTTCATAAGTACTGGTACTGGTTTCTGACAACTACTAATAACTGACCATTTCTCCGAAGTAGCCTGTGGGATGAGTCACGGATGGGTTATTCTCACGTCCAATCTGCCCAGAGTTAAAGTTGAGGCCACTCCCCTCTACTTCCTCTGCATGGCTCCAGTTGAATCTCAGTCTCGGTCTGTAAGGGAATGTTTTTGCTTGGCTCTGTAAGATTGGTTGCATGTCGAATTTTTCCATTTCTAACTCCCCCCACCTCCTCTCCTATCCTCTGTGTGGTGTGTTGTGAGTTCTTTTGGCATAAGCTGCATTTTGCCTGGCTGTTGGGGACCACTGTTGCTGCTGGTCGGTACTTGGGGGTTTCCCAAGATGCCCTCCAAGAGGCGCTATTCAGCGTAGACCATTTTTTAGCACTATATTTAACAATATCCTGTTTAGTAACGATTCATAATGGTGATGGAAAATGACAAATTCTCAGGCTTTGCAAGTCAGTAAATCGAGGGAAAGATGAAGTAAAATCATAAGCATAGTTGCAATTTCACTGAGTGATCAAGGTGCCATTTCAAATTGTGATTACTAAATGATGACTAGCTGTATACTTCCTAAATTCCAATCAGAATTTGGTTTAATTGTACTTAGAAAAATCTATAGATATCAAACATAAAAGGCCAAGCTGAATTAATACTAAGCACTATTTATATAAAATAAAATTATATATATATATATATATATATATATAT